TAAAACGTTTCATTACCGACCAGATTGGAATTTTGGTCCTTGTGTGTGCTTCTCCGGATCATTGTTATGCAATTGAATTGTTCAGAGTTCAAATATAGGCATAAATGAAATGGATGTTGAATGTATAATATAAAAGATACCTATACGGGCCCTAAAATCCTTAATGACCTTTATTCTTATGTTTTTCTAATAGCCATACCCAATCCACTCAAGAGTTTCACCTATCAGCTTCTAGATGATACAACAGTTCAGTTTAAGTTTGAGGATCCTGAAGACTGGAATTTTGATAAACACATTTTATTGAATAAACGAATTTGTCAGGAATCGCCAGTTGAAGAAGGTGCAAAATGCAAAACTAAAACGTTTCAGGACAGACAAGAAAATACATGGACAATATCTGGACTCAGTTATGATACACAATACATTTATACGGCTCAATGTTACCATATTGAAGGCAGATGGAGTGAAGAAAAAAACATCACTTTCCACACTGGAGGTACAGGTAAGAGCAAAATGTACACACAATAAATGATGAGAATTTAACAGAAACAAAGACAATAATTGAATAGAAGAAAAATTATTATTTAATTAAAACAATAGTTGAAATGTTGAGGGCGCTAATAATTTTTATACCGGCGGAAGGTTGTTGTTTTTCGGTCATGGCTGTTGACCGGGTTTTTTTTTTTTAAATAAAGAAACAAAACAAAGTTTAAATGCGATTGTGTTCCTTTATGACAGTGAGCAGTACTAAAATATTGGAAAGCGTCAATCCAAATGGTAGCAGAGCGAGGTTAAACCGTAAGTTAATCCTGAAAACTCTCACTGTTCGTCCGAACTTAGGCCTAATAAATGCTAGCCTAAGACTAGGATATGTGAAAATAACGTTACGGTCCAGCAACAAACAGCGTTGAGACAACCTGAATAATTATTATACCCTGCAGCGCGGTGCTGCTATTAGCATCAGCGAGTCGGCTGTTCCAGCTAATTCTAGAACATTAGAAACACTGCGAGTGAATAATTATAACACTTTGGATGTAAAGGCCTATGATGAGCGTCGTACGATTATGCTAGTATATTGAACATTAAATAAACAACGACGAATAAAGAATAAAAAGTGTAGTGAACTTTACATAATAATTCCAATTCTGTAAACATTGTGTTGTGATGTGATATTAAACATTAGCAATGGCAGAGGAAATAAATAAATTAATAATAACACGTAGAAACAGAAAAGATGCTCTGACCAGAGCATTATCGGGGATTGCGAACTTGTTGAAAGAAGGTGTTTATGAAAAAATAGAGGTAGAAAGCAGAATCTTAATGTCTCGACAAATGTATGCAACAATTGAAGAAGCGCATGGAGAGTTGATTAACCTAATAGAAAATGAGGATGATTATTTAAAAGAAGAAGAATGGATGGAAAATTGTCAAACAGAATATATGTCAGCGATACAGGAATTGAAGATCCGAATAAAATTTAAAGAGAAAGAGAATAATGAAACTGACAATGGAAACACCAGTATCAATAAGGACACCGTGAACCCAAGTAATGGTAGCAACAATGAAAATACCAGTATAAACAGTGATACCATGAACCTAAGTAATGGCAGTAGCAATGAAAACACCAGTATTAACAGTGATGCCTTGAGCCCAAGTAATGGCAGTAGCAATGGAAACACCAGTACTACTAATAGTGATAAAGGGACTAAAGATAATGTAGTGAGTAATGACATAGCAC